CCATTTGTACTTCTAATTAGTGACCGTTGTTTTGTTTTGATCTCTCCGCTGCGTTTCCGCGTGCGTCACTTCTGAGCTGCAATGCGCAAAGCCGACCTCATACTTCATCCGCCCCCCATGTACACCTAGGATGGCTCTGGGGTGAGTAAAACACAGCCTAATTTTCATTTTTGGGTGAACTAACCCTTTAACCTCTGAACTCTTTTCGAAATGAAGCACAATTAATGTCCCAGTTCATGTCCACAATTCATATCCATTGTTTCTGGCGTTGTTTTATAAAGGCTCGTCGTCTCTTTATCGAGTGACTGCAATGAAGGTGCTTCGCAGAAGCTTTTACATTCCACATTTAGTCACTGGTGACACATTTAAAATGATTCTTGAGATAATAAAGATCATATTCGCTCATAGAGGCCTCTTGAGGGGAAGCATAACGGAACTTGGAATAGACTTTGTCACTCTCAGACTGTCCCCATGGCAACATCGCCTTGATCTTCGATGCATGACTGATAATAATATCATCACAGGAGCTCACATGGAGGGAGCCAAGCCCATCAATAAAAAATCCTAAAGAAGAACCAAAAATGACATAGTAACGCACACACAAATGTCAAATACATGCATAATAAAATGTGCATTAGTCCTCTTACCTAAATGGCCAACCCGAGACAGACGTGGGTCAAAGCCCACCTGTCGTATCTTTTCTGTGCGAGCCATGAAGAAATTTATGACGGCATCTGCAACCACACAATTGGGAAATCCCTCGATAACGTGGTGGAATCCCGTCCTTATGTGTAAGCAATCCCCTTCTTCATCACCTGCGTCTGTGGATATGATGTGTCGATAGGTGGCAGTGTATCCCGTCACTTCTCTCACAGCTCCCCCGACCTCACAGTGCAAACACAACAGGTACACGTGACGTACTTGTTTTGTTTTTTATAATCTTTTTTGAACATTTATATTACATTATATTTTATTATATTTCTAAATATATCATATATGTTAATTCTACATTAATAATAATATTTATTAAACTTATTTTAAGGACTGATGAAAGGACTGATACTGTCAAATGAAAGTGAAGTGACTTGTGGCCGAGTATGGTGACCCATATTCTGAATTTGTGCTCTGCATTTAAAACATCCAAGTGCACACACACACACACACACACACACACACACCCGGAGCACTTAATAAGTTAAACATGGCATACTCTGGTCGCGATCCCTGATTCAGGGGCGGTTCTGGGGCGGGGGGACCAGTGCCCCCCTGCCAACAAGCTTGGCCCCCCCTAAATTTGGAATCATATCACACCAAACAATTTTGGGTGAAATGCGCAGTTTGTCCTGTAAACTATGCCTATAAAAAAAAGAAAAACATCTCCAGCAGCTAAATTCAAATCTGCATTCCCTGGCTGGCACAGAGCCAGAGACACACACGTTTTTAAAGCGCTGCACATTATAACCAATCCCATACTATTATGTTGAGTTTATGAATACAAAGACCAATCAGAGGCGTTCAGATGAGTCACCGCTGAAACACGCTGTTTCGTCACTGCGCGCGCTGCCTGACTGCAATCTCTGGCTAATGATCTCATCAGAAACAACAAAGTGAAGATGTACGAATGTAAGTAAGATATTAATTTTACAGTGTAAACAGCTTTAGAGATTATTATGGGAGTTTGAGAGAGCTTGAATTCGCTGGACTGAAGTGAAAATGTTCTTTGATAGTGTAAACGTTCTTTGCTCTCTTTTTGTACAATGAAAGTGTTATAGGCTAATTAGTAACTTACTATGTTTTTATTAACTTCACATTAAATACAAAGTCAGTCGTATTAAATATATTTAATGGTATGAGACCATATCTGGTACTTAAGTAAAAAGACGAATTTTTATGCAAAGTTAATAGATTAATACTATTAGGCTACTTTACTGGAGAACTAACAATTTTAAAATCGTGCCCCCTAAAAGCACAAGTGGCCCCTGTCTGGCCCCCCCAGTTACTGTGGTCTAGAACCGCCCCTGGCACGCATACATCTCGGAGACGTCTATTTGATGTCTGCATTTACATCTGCAAGACGTATTTTTTAGAGTGTTTGCTCATCTGCAATACGTCTATAGGACGTTTCCTTTTAGATGTCAAATAGACGTCTATTAGATGTCTTTAAGATGTTTATGATTTAGAATGTATGTAAAACTGACATCTTACAGACGTCTTTCAGATGTTTGTCCAAAGCAGATGCTTTCCAGATCAAGAGATCTTTAACAGACATCTTGCAGACGTACATGTGCTATCTGGGGATGTCTGTGCACTCGTGGTTGGTATTTTTAGAGCCAAATACCCACACTTGCTGTCTTTGCACTTAACCACTTCCATGACGTATTTCCTGTAGCCTGTTTGGCCCAAATGTTCAAGTGGAAATTGTAAAAATGTTGTGTTGTAAACATGCGAGCTTTATTTTTATTTTCAATACTTTTCATATTTAAAATAAACTTCTAAACGTCTGTTCAGTAGTCTCCATAACAGATTATATGTAATATCTAATTATTAATATTTAACTTACACTGGAAAGGTTTCAGCAACCTCTTGTGAGATCTCGGCAAAAAGTCGCTCAATTTCCGATCCGGAGCGGTATTCAAGATAGTCTCAGATAGTGGCGAAATCGCATTCTCTCTGGAGTAGGTACTTTTTTGAATAAGTAGCCTAATTACTTCGTAACCGCAAAAACAGTATGTTCATAAATCCTCTCTCGTGGCCTCATGCCGGGATAGTAAAGTGTCCATCGTATACACATTTCAGAATCACGCTGGAAGTAGTAGGCCATCCTGGTATGTTCTGCCTACTCTTTTATGAGTACTGTGAATTCGGACATACATACTTCTTTTGTCACATAATGTTTTACGCCCGCTAGATTTCGGATGCAGCCAGTGTGGATTATTTTGCATTAAGGGCACTTCGCTTTGTGCATTTACTTACTGTTGTGTGCACACGCACTCAAGTGGCCAAGAAGACTACAAGTTTGGGTATTTGGACAAGCCCTTAGTAACCCTTTCTGCAATTTACATCGTTACGCTGGTGTGTGGTAACAAGTGTCTACTCCATTGAGTCATTGAATCATTTATTCAAACTATTCTTTCAAAAACACAGATACAGTCAGGGACGCGGGACGTAGGGGTGCTGAGGGGGCTGCAGCACCCCATGTTTTCACATGGTTGCAAATGCAACGCCAGGTTTGTTCATTTAAATTTATTCAGTTTTAGCATTTAATAATTTATTTGTAATGATCTCTGAAATGTAAATTGTAAGTGGGCTATAATAAACCCATGTTTATCTTTATAAACATGATTAATTTTACTTGTGATGTTTTCTATATGGGATGATTAGTCTAATCCTCATGAACACGTGACGCTGGCGCGTGGTATCAGACATGAACTATACAGAATGCGAACAAGATTAACTTTAATACAAGGAGATAATGGCGCAAAAGCGAATTTCAGATTTTTTTAAATGCCCATCCCAGCAAAACCTTTCCAAAATCGGCATCCAAATAACACCAGCCCCAGCGCGAGCACCGGCGTAAGTGAACCAACCAGCCCCTGTAACCAGTAACCTGTAATTGGTTACTGTACATTAGTATCTTTTTGTTGTTTTACTGAGTATCAAAGGTATTAGCAACTTTTAGTCTCTACTTCACTACATTTTTGAAGCAATATATGTACTCTACTCCAATAACTTTGTAATGAGTCATGCAATTACTCATTACATTTTGCATGGCACCTAACTTTTTCAGTATTTCTGCGACAAAAAAAGGAATATTGACATCTACAGGGCATTAAAGGCATCTTGTGCAGTTTGCCCTTACTCACCGAAAATTGTCAACAAGGCTTCTTTATGTGAGTGCATTAGCAGGTAGTTGTGAATTGCTGGTGTTTTATATCCGAGATGAGGACATGACTGCAGCAAGTGATGAGGCTGAAACCAGCACGCCTTGTGCAAGAAACCTTTGAAGTTTTTCCGTTTTTTAAATACGCCTACACAGTTTTTGAAACTATGGCTCTGTTTCTCAAATCTCTGCACACAAAACACACACACAACATGTCACAACGTCACACATATCTTAAAGCAAACACTTCTTTCAAAACTATTTTAACTCTTCTAAAAATGGCATTTTTGTGTAGTAACTACACACAAGCATAAAATAATGCGTCACATACACGCCAAACTACACAGATGTAAAAATTTTAAAACACTACTCTCTTGTGTCTTTGCTTGTTCAGAGTGCAGTGGAGTGCACAGGAGTTTGTAATAGCCTCATCAGTAAATGAGTTTGGCATTAAAATGGCAGTTTCCCAAATTAAACAAAAGAGCTGTTAGTTTTGAATGATGTGTGTAATGTAGTGTTTTGCAAAAAGTTTGTTTTACGATATCAAACAGTTTAAAGCATGTAATGTGCTTGTAGTTTTGCAGACTTGGTCTAAAGATTAGGTATATGAGAGAATGGTTTCACTGAAAGGGCCTCAAGTACCACTTTTCGTGTCTAAGCAATTTTTCGCTTTCACAACGAAACACACGGCAGGCTAGAGTGAGCGGAGGGCGGTGGGCTAGAGTGAGTGGAGGCTGGCTTGAGTGAGCGGAGGCAGGCGGGCTTGAGAATGGCGCGGCCGGCGGATTTGACGAAACCACATGTGACGACCCCGGGCTGGATTCCGCTTCGGCCACGGTGAAAGCCGATCCGGCGATCCACAGCGTGAAGTTTACAGATCTTCTTTATGCACCAAGAGCTTGTAACACTCCAAAGAGAAAGGAAATATTGAAATCGCGTCATATGACCCCTTTAAAAAAAACTGTAATTTTACTTAACATTATTTTATTTATCCGTCATATTGAAAATAGCTTTTTTAATGATATTGGTTTACTTATGCCCTTTTTGAGCACTTGTGCTTTACTGAGACTGTAGACATTTAAGAGGATTCGGACATACATACTTCTTTTGTCACATAATGTTTTTCGCCCGCTAGATTTCAGACGCAGCTAGTGTGGATTAGTTTGCATTAAGGGCACTACGCTTTGTGCATTTACTTCCTGTTGTGTGCACACGCTCTCAAGTGGCCAAGAAGACTACAAGTTTGGGTATTTGGACAAGCCCTTAGTAACCCTTTCTGCAATTTACATCGTTACGCTGGTATGTGGTAACAAGTGTCTACTCCAGTGAGTCATTGAATCATTTATTCAAACTATTCTTTCAAAAACACAGATACATTCAGAAACAAAACAACTGGGATTTGTGCGTGAGTCCTTGAATTATTGTTTCAACTGGTTCGTACATTCAATGAAACAGCGCCTACTGTGTGTTACTCAAAGACGTGGAACCAGTCCGCTATCGCTGTGTTTGGAACTCTGCAGTGGTATAAACGGACAAACAACTGGAAATATTGTCTAAACTGAAGGTCACTCTTGTTAATTGTGATTACATCCAGACAGTCTTGTTTATTATTAGGTAATAAGGCACCAATGCAATTGCTTATGTTTATAGGCTATTGAAAACTTGGCAAGTTGTCACTTTTTACTGCAGTAGAACATTTCCACTATTATGGCTCATGCCAAAAGAGACAATATATGCAACATATGTTCTCATTTTGTGACAACCAACCTGTCCAAAAAGCATTGCTATGGTCATACATTGGGCACGTACATTTACATTTGTTCATTTAGCAGCAGTGGTGTAAAGTATTTGAGTAAATGTAATTGGTTACGGTACGTTAGTATCTTTTTGTTGTTTTACTGAGTATCAAAGGTATTAGCAACTTTTACTCTCTACTTCACTACATTTTTGAAGCAATATATGTACTCTTTACTCCAATAACTTTGCAATGAGTCATGCAATTACTCATTACATTTTGCATGGCACCTAACTTTTTCAGTATTTCTGCGACTATAAACAGAAATGCAAGGGAGTAAAAATTATTTCTTTCTCAAAACACTGAGTTTTGATTTCTAAGTGAACAAATTATGTATAAATATTTTCACATATGATCACTGGGTGTAGGTCATCAGTAAATGAGTGTGGCATTTCAATGGCAGTGTTTCCCAGATGAAACTAAAGAGCTGTTAGATTCGAATGATGTGTATAATGTAGAGATCTGTGTTTGGAGTTTTGCAAAAAGTTTCTTTTACAAAAGCAAACTGAGTTTAAAGTATATAATGTGCTTGTAGTTTTGCAGACTTGGTCTAAATATTAGGTATATGAGAGAATGGTTTCACTGAGAGGGCCTCAAGTACCACTTTTGGTGTCTAAGCAATTAAAAAAAAAACTGTAATTTTACTTAACATTATTTTATTTATCCGTCATATTGAAGATAACTTTTTGAAGGATATTGGTTTAATTATGCCCCTTTTGAGCACTTGTGCTTTACTGAGACTGTAGACATTTAAGGTTGTGTTTGTGTTGACATTGATTTATTGGAATTTTGAGGTGTTTGGTTTTATTTTGATTGTAGAAAATAAACGTGATTGCTCTCACAAATCAACAGTTTCTTGTTTTTTACTGTCACATCGCTTAGTTGTTGAGGACTAGTGCATCTTTGAGCCTACATTCAGTGTGAGTAAAATACTTAAGTACTGTTAAAATCAGATATTCTAAGACTTTTACTCAAGTTGTTTTGTAACTGGTGACTTGTAACAAATTTTCGCTGTAAGGTATCTGTACTTTTACTCAAGTGTGGTTTTCAGGTACTCTTTACACCTCTGTTTAGCAGACCCCTATATCCAAATCTGTCATAGAAGGCTAATAATATTTGTTGTATATAAAGCCAGGTTTGAGCAGTGTAAAAGTGAAATGCACAGAAAGAAGTAGAAAAACAAGAAAGATGCAATGGAGTGTTAACTAGAAAAGGGTAACAAATTTCGATAACATCTAATGCTGCCTTGTCAGTTTGGTGAACCTGCTGTTTATCTGCAACTGTTCACATCAGAGCAAAATGCTTTGATATAATAAATGAAGTTTAGACATCACAAGAGTGAACTGGTTAACAATAATAACCAGTGAACTAGAAGGGGGTAATGGATTTCTAAGGTGTGAACTGACAAAAAAGCAACTATACAAGAAGGTCTCACTGTTTTGTCAAAACCCTGAGAAGTCTTTAGTGTTAATACTTCTCAAATGACTACACATCCATCAAGTAGCAAACAGCTAATTACTCAAAAATTGAGTAATTAAGTGAATTCACCCTCACAAGGTTGTGTATCTAAAGGGAGGTACTGACTTTTTATGATGAAAAGTCACACCCTGTAAGTAAGACTGGGAAACTATTGCTCATGCGATTTCATCAGTATTTCTTACAAACAGATGTGTCATGCACATTCAAGCAAGTTGCCTCACTCGGAGGACTGTGATACATTTTGTCTTCGTGTAAACATATAATGGGCAAGAGCCAATGAGCTTTTGATATCACTGCCATAATACCTGTGGTAAAGCTTCTGGAAGCGGCAATTGAATTTGTAATGAGCAAGGGTTTCGATAAGGTCGCTGCTGAGGATGGAGATGAAGATCACAGAATTAAGGCTTGAATTTGGGTCTGTTCCTTGCAGTTGTGTGGATTCTGAAGATTTGGATTACAGCACACAAATAAAATCGGTTCCTTTTGTGATTTTATGTTGCGTTTTTTGGTGTATTGGTTCTATTGTCAGTCGCAGCATGACTGAGAAAACACCTTTTGTGTCCCACCGCAAACAAAATAAATATTACATGATAAGTAATGGTTAAACGTTTGCAGAAATGTCATTACTTTTAAGGTTTTAATGTGTAGTCTTGTTTAACATTATGTAATCCTTCGAAACGAGTTGGCAGAAGAAGTACAAAAAGTTATTTTAAGTAAATTAGTAAACTTCTTTAATAAATGCGATTGAAAACATAATAACTGAATAAACAAATTGTTAATGCCACAATTTTAATATTCATAAGGATTAATTTGTAAGTCTGTAAAGTTATATGTAATAATTTGCGGTTTAATATGCCAATATTTTATGTTTAGATGCTGGCAGTACTTTAATGCTGCACGTTCTGTGCAAACATAAGTAAATGTATGTTTGATAGAACCAGACTTTACGTCAAAATACATTCAAAACAAGAATGTTGTGGTGCTTGTTGAGGCATGTAACTAACTAACCCCCAGCTGCATGATGCCCCTGCTCACTCCTTTACATCTTACAGCTTTCTACATTATATTTGAATCTCATTTGTTGCCACAACCAACCAAACAACTCAAAAGCTTTGTGTTGTGAGAAATGTATGCATTGCAGTGCATGTTTATTCTTCAGCCATGTCACCTTTAGTTTTTTGCTGTATGAAATATTAGGAAGTTGCTTCCAAATGTAAGCCCTTGCTTGGTGCACCATAGCACGTTTAATAATTTAAGAGTGCACTAATATGATAATCAGTGTTATTAATAAGGCTGTGTTCTCTAAGAGGAATTCTACTAATTTTAAGCCAGCGGCAAGACAAACCCACAGCAGCATGATACAAGTGTGCACAGCTATGTTTCATCCAGTGTTTGAGAGATTTTGTAAAGCTGTTTCTTGACATTCAGTTAGTGGCTTATACTTGTGGCTTATGTGGGAGGAAGGAAATTAAAAATTTAGATCCTAAAATGTCATAATTTCTTAGTCACATTCCTCATCACTTTACATGTAAAAAGATGACTGGTCGGAACAGACTGTATTTTCATGAACATTTGTCTTGGTATTGAAAAACTCTCACCAGGTCCAAAGTTGTTCTCTCCAAAATATCCACCATTTTTTCCAGTTTGGTGCTTGAGGTGAAAATAAAGTCATCATCCACCCAAAGCACATATTTGGTTGTTACTTGAGAGACTGCCAGGTTACGACCAGCAAACCAGCCCTGTAATGAGGAGTAGACGGCACTTTAAATCTGTTTGTCCTGAAAAAATAATAGCTCAAATAACCTTTGCTGAGTTTATATGTAAGAATACAAACATATAACAACCATACCTTGCCAAAAGGCATGATATAATGCTCAATGTAGGGTCCAGTTACAGGTTTAGGCTCCTTTGTGTCATCAGCTATCACTATAGTTATAGTAGGGTAGAACTGTCGAATGCTGTTGACCAAATCCTGAAGTTTATCATAGCGTATAAATGTTTTTGTGGCAATTGTGACCAGAGTACTTATATTATATTCTGTAAGAAGGATCATATCAAAAATGAGTATTGTAACATTTCCAATACATTTTATTATGAATTTATTATTAATTATATTTGTTTTACCACTTTTGGGTCCAGGATTATAGAATTTAGGCATTGGTGGATGTCTGATCTTAATGGTGAAGGAGGCCTGGAATATACCTGCTTTAAATTGTACTGCCATAGACAAAGGAACAGTGTTATATAATTAAAAAAAATACACAAAAAAGACTGCTGAATATAGAGATAAGCATGTATTATGGCATAAATAAAACATAATTCTAAATAAATAGAAAGTTTTGACAGTTTTTCTGCATTTTAACATCGTTCAGTTGAATTTTTTTTAATGTCCTGATCTTGATGATCTTGCCTTATTCATTGTGTGCTTTGGATAGTTTAATCATTTTATTATTCTACTCTATAACACCATCACAGGAACCTGCTGTAAGGGTGACCATATGCTGGCCAGGTAATGGATATTTGACTTGAACAAACCATTCAGTGCTACTGTACATCACAAAAGGTAATTCTGAAGCCGTTTGCTCATGCTGCAGTTTGTTGTCATTGTAGGATGGGGTAGAGAACATATTTCCAAACCCATTGTTTAGTCAAGTCAATGAGATAATACATTGTTGTTGTTTTTACATAACTCAAACATCTGCGTTCATTACCTAATTGCTGCTGTTCCATTTTGGGTTGTTGTCACATTAAAGGAAATAGCCACACTGTAAAAGTGATTTTTTGCTCAAATTACTTAATTAAAATGAGTTAAAGCAACACAATCACTGAACATTTAGTTTGTCTTCAATCTACCTAAATAAGAACTGAAGTTTACTTTTTTTTTTTTGAGTTGAGTTGAGTTGTAGCAACTGTGCAGTGGAATTTTAGTTTTGTGCATTGCGTAGGGCTGGATCAGGACAGTAAAAGTTGAAATTAAGTGTTATTTTATGTGTTTGTGAGCAAAAAGAGAGACCTGTTTGTGATAATGTTCAGTTAAGCTGTTAAATTTAGGTAGTCTTTACTCAACCCATGGGATGAAATCTACCCTAACAAATTGCTACCTCAGTTTTATTGAGTTTATAGGGTTGTTTTTACAGTGTATTTTTGACGGAAAGAATGTAATCTGGGGTCTCACCTATGTCTGCTATGTTGGGATGGAACCGTGTGTTTGTGTAGGTAACAAACTCTAGCTGTCTGTTCAGGGAGGCCAGTGATCTGCTCTTAAAACTAATATGCATCTCTCCTTCCCCATTGATTTGCACTCCATCCACCAGCGCTGCTGTATTGAATGTTCCCATTGTGGCAATCAGATTTACCTGGAAGTGAAATTGTATGAAATTCACAGCAATGTGCTGTATTGAAGCAGAAAATTCTTGTTCTGTAAATGAGGATGCTTTCTTTGAATCATATACCTCTTAAAAGGATAGCTCACCCCAAAATGAAAATGATGTCAATATTTACTTATTTCAAACCTGTATGCTGTTATTTTATTCTGCAGAACACAAAAAATAATTACAAATTACAAATCTTAATGCAGCTCTATTCCATACAAAAGTTCATAGTGGCCATGAGCTATCAATATTCATAAAAACACTATAAAAGCACCATCAAAGTAGTCCAAACAAATTGTGTACTATATTTCAGCTTATTCGAAGCCATATGGTGGTTTTGTGTGAGAACAGATCCAAATGTAAGTCATTATTCACCAGTGGCGGCTCGTCGGGGGAGGCAGGGGAGGCACAGCTTCCCCAAAATTTTTAGGTGAAAATGGGATGAGGATGATTTAATGTTAATAAAATTCACAATTAATTTCAGTTCATGTCTCAGATTGTGTATTTTTTGTTTGTAATTTCACAGCTGTAATACGATAACATGTTACTGAAGTTGGAAAGCGCCGCTTTTCTATCTCGAATGTGCCGAATCTGCTGATGTAATTACAACCGCTAGGTGATAGAGAAGGGGAGGGGGAGGCCTGGGGAGAGCTGAGCTCTCGTGCCTCCGTTGGTAAAATAAATTAGCCAATCAGCATCGAGTGTTCACTTTCAGCGCTGAGGAGTGTTGAGAAAAAAAAACTGGTAGGGGAGGCTAGCCTCTAGGGATGGAGGTGAGCTGATTTGACCAAGTACAACATGTTCCTGGATCAACATCCTTGTTGATCCTGGAACATCATTCCAATCAACCAATCAGAACTGAGGGATAACTTTTCAGGAAATGTCAGTTTTAGGCTTACAATCAGGATTAGGTGCTTCTACACCCTTGTTAATCAGCTATCATTTCCCTCTGATTTTAGGAATAAATTATGGGTAAGGCTGGGT